AGGGCTCGGGTCCGAAGGTGATAGGAGCGAAATGGAGTTCGGGTCCGAAGGGAGATGGAAGCGAAATGGACCAAAGGCTCGGTTCATTCCGGTTGCTGATGAGGTTCGGTCGAGACTAGCTTCGGTCCTCAGGGAGGTTCGGTCCGAGACTAAGTTCGGTTCTGAAGGGGACCTTCGGTTCTATGTAGTTCGGTCATAAGAAGCTTCGGTCCAAAAGAGCTATTTCGCTTCTTAGGGTTTCGCTTCCAAGAGGCTCGGTTCCATTAGGGTTTCGGTCCTATATGGCTGTTTTTCAAGTAAACTTCCCGTTTTGAGCGATTTTTGGCCAAGTTAAGGGTCAGGATAACCCGGATGACTATAAAAAGCTGAGAGAGATTTTGGGAGAGATTTGGGAGAGATTTGATTTTAGTCAATATTAGTGTATAGCCTCGCAATGCAAGGTTCGTGAACCCCTTTATTCTTTGTTTATGATTATTTTAAGTCCCCAAAAGGGTCCATTGTCGTGTTTTGATGCATTTAACTCCCTTCTTAGGGTTTTACATTGTTAAACACATAAATTTTCCGAGACACTTGAGTTCTTGACATACAAATGCACATTTTTATACATAGAATAACTTTTATCATAGAAGTACTAGCTAAGTTTGACCGGTTTGACTTGTTGACTTTGACTTTGACTTTGACTTGAAATTGACGGTTGTCACATAATATGTGGCCCCATACTGAATATTTGAAGCCCTTACCACCCCTTCTCAGGAGAATGCCTAGAAGGCCAAAAACAAAGAGAATAAGATATGCCTCAGAAGCTCAGGATTCTAAGTACCCAACTCAAAAGGCAAAGGTTAGCAGGACTATTAGGTATGGGAAATGTAGGGAACTTGGTCATAATAAGTTGTCTTGTAAGAGTGGAGAAGGTCCAAGTGACCATGTCCCTAAAAGGAAAAGTGGAAGACCAAAGGGGGATGAGGGAGGGAATTCAGCTATGAACATTGAAAAGACACCAAGGAAAGCAGGTGAGGGAAAGAAGAAAGTTGTTGAGGGCACATCAAAAGAAGCAATTGGGGGAAAGAAGAAAGCTGTTGAAGGAATATCAAAAGAAGCAAGTGAGGGAAAGATGAAAGTTGTTGAGGGCACATTAAAACAAGCAGGTAATATGATAGATGTTGATCAGTCAATTTCTCCTTTGAAGAGAATGAAGATGATGCAGGGAAGGGAGGTAAGATCAAATATATAGGGAGAATATGGGTTGTGCATGGTAGTTTAAGTCAAACTGTGGCTGGTGTTGATGAAGTTGTACTTACCTGCCATGAAAAGATTGACCAGGAAGATTTTGAAACTATTAAAGATTTGCAGGCATCTGGATATGATCATGGGGAAATTGTTGAAGCTTTTAATAAGGTGTGTAGTTATAAATTTAGTTATTAACACAATTTTCGTGAACATTATGTGATAATATGTTAATTTCTTATTCACAGTTGACAAAAGAGAGGAATGAAATGTTGGTTGAGAGTATAGTTGATGAAGAGACCATTCAAGAAACACAAGATCCGTTGGTAAGAAAAAGGAAGCCCTCAGAAAGAATTATCAAGATCAAGCTGAAAAAAGCAGTGCACGATCCAGATGGAGGTGGTTCAACAACTGAGAAAACAATTACATTGGATCGATGTTGTTATGGATGGGGGGTTAATTGGGCAGAAATCTTTTGATAGCCCTTTTTTGTGAAAGCATCTTTTGGTAACAAGCTTCCAATTTGTTGACAACTTGTTATCTTTTGAATGTAATCTGTAGTAAGTACATTGTCATTTTGGGAAATCATCTTTTGGCTTGTAAACATTGTTGTAAAATTGGAAGTTTGGTTCTGATTGTTACCCTCCATGTATGTATTTAGATATTATGTTTATAAAGATTATGGTTTGTAGTAAGTTCAATGTCAGTTTGTAATGGATAGTACATTGTCAATTTCTGGTTAATGCTTTTCATATTAATTGTCCCGTAGGACTATATATTACAAGGGTACCCATATTACAACCTTCAAATGTTTTTCAGATGCTATTACAAATGTCCCATAGGAGTGTAATACCCAGTTCCCAAAATAAGCATCTAATACAACTTTCACCTAACCAACAACTTCACAAAAGACTAAACTTAACTTCCTAACTTCCTACACTTTTACCAACAATACAATACCTGTTACCAACATCACTGCAAATAGAATGACCATGATGAACAAAAGCTTCATCATCAACATCAACCTCCTATTTTGATCCACATTCACCTGTTCCAACTGAGCATTGCCATCAGCCATACCAACCAGAGCTAAATGCATTTGGTACATCAGGTTTTTGTAATCTTCCCTAGGCAAAGGTGGGTCCAGCCACATGAAGAACTTACAATACCTGAAAGGATCCTGCACATTTTTATGACGGATTTTCCCTTAGTCTTATAACAAAACTTTATACTGGATCAAAGAGTGAAGAACATACCTTGAAGTTGGTGCATCCCCTAAATTTCCTTCCAGAATTCTTTTCCGTCCAGGAAATTGAGAAGCTAGCCTCAACACCACAACGACACAAAACCATGGGGTTGTTTCTGTTCCTGAAATTGACATTAACATTTTGCAATCCTGAAGTCATTGACCCTGTAGACCCTATAGATGAACTAGCCATGAAGAAATTGTTGCGTGGAAGAAGTCGGAGAAGGAAGAAGTAGGAGGTGGAAGATGGGTTTCTAACGGTAAAAACCCTATTTGTAAAGGGGTAACCGGCTGAAACCAGCTAACAGGGCTTGAGGCAAAAGTCAACACATACATAATGGCTAATTAGAAACAAAAAATCCATTTAGGTCTAATTTAGAATCGGGGTGTAAAACTTATGGCTTTTATGGTATTAACCCTATATTTAAATCAACTTATGATTTTAACTTGTGATTTTGACATATATAATTTCCCTAAAAATATTTCTACATGAATTACTGAATCCGACTACTCCTCGAGTACTCCCGAGTACCCGCTACTTGACAGTCGGCTGAACAGGTACCGAGTAGCGAGTTCTACAACCTTGCTCTTGAGTACGAATTACATATTCATGCCACGTTCTCCACAAACATTATCGCCTACTCGGACACTGACTGGGTGGATCCAAATACTCGTCGATCTAGATTTTGTTACTATGTCGTGGGAGGTAACCTTCTTTCGTGGTCCTCCAATCGAAACAGTGTTATTGCGTGATCGGATGTCAAAGCAAAGTATCGTGGCATTCCTAAAGCTGTTATCGGGACCTTTTTCTTTCACAATCTTCTCCAAGAGTTATACTTATCTCCACCCAAAACCATCATTGTATACTACGATAATGTCAGTGATGTCTATATGTCATCCAATATGGTTCAAAACTAACGCACGAAGCGCCTAGAGATTGACATTCACTTTGTTCACGATGAAATTGCATTAGTTCGGGTTTACGTCTTCCACGTCATATCGAACCCTCAGTATGCAAACATCATCAAATGGATTTTGCCATCTGATATGGGCTTATTTAGTCATAAAAATCATGCATGATCTTAATACTTTATGTTAATTTTATCTCAA